ACCTCGCCAATGGACGCGCAACTCCGGCAAATGACGGGCGACGGAGTGGCATGCGTGAGAGTGAGAGGATGTTTAAGAGGAAGGTGTTGGGCTTGACTATAAAAATCCTTACCTTAGTCCATTTAATGAAATGCAACGCTTAAAAACACACCCTGCTTTTCGAAAAATGTTTTTATCCGGAAAGCGCCTTTCGTATGGAGCTAGAACATTGAATGAAGGAGGATGGCAATCTATGCCAACTCTTGGTTTTCCTGGCGGTTATTTAGTGGGTGCTTCTGCGGGATTTATGAATGTACCAAAAATTAAAGGAACACACACGGCGATGAAGTCTGCTGTGCTTGTGGCGGATACGGTTTTTGATACTCTAACAAAAGGAAGCTCTTCCGAAACACTTCAGGAAAAAATAGAAAAGAGTTGGTTGGGAAGTGAATTAAAAGCTGTGCGTAATATTCGTCCAGGATTTCATTGGGGGCTTATTCCAGGGCTCGTAAATAGTGCATTCATTACCTTGATCACAAGAGGAAAAGAGCCCTGGACCCTTTCTCATTATAAAGATCATCTCTCTTTAGAGAAATCTTCTAAAAGCAATCCCATTGTTTACGAAAAACCAGACAATAAAATAACCTTTGATCGTCTGTCTTCGTTATTTCTCTCCAATACATCCCATGAAGAAAACCAGCCGTGCCATCTAAAACTTAAGGATGAAAATGTCCCCATTCAGGTAAATTTAGATCAATACGCTTCTCCAGAGTCGCTTTATTGTCCAGCAGCTGTTTACGAGATTATTGAAGAAAAGAATCCTCGTCTTCAGATCAACTTTACGAACTGTCTCCATTGTAAAGCCTGTGATATTAAAGATCCGACTCAAAATATTACATGGACTCTACCAGAGGGGGGTGGAGGCCCTCGCTATACGGGGATGTAATAGAGAGAAAAGCTCTGTAAGAACGCTTTAATCCCTCTTTGATTTACTCTTTTTACTGTCTAGAGATCGATCAAGAAATGTTTTCTTTTGCTCTCTTTCTTCTTCTGTCACAACCACAGTATCTTCTTCTTTCCACTCACCCACGGGGGTGCCACCAGGGTAGAATCGAGGGTAAGTCCCCCCTTCAGGACGAATAAGGTCGCCTCTTCTCCCGCATGCAGAAAGACCTATAGCACAAATTCCAAGAAAAATAACTGTGGCCGCTAGACGGTTTGTAAGCATGTTGGCTATAGTCTCTTTTTAGTAGTATTTTGAACTTTATATCTGGGATGGAGGAAGCAGTGAAGCATTTCTTGTGGTTAGTTTTAATTTTATGTTTCAAAATAAGTATGATAAATGCAGATGCCCTTAGTCGTTATGAGGCTCTATATCCCGAAACGCCCCCCTCTTTTTCCCTCAAAGATTCTTTAGGAAACGTTTTATCTCTTAAGGACCTAAAGGGAAAAGTGGTTCTATTGAATTTCTGGGCAACATGGTGCCCTGCATGCCGCAAAGAAATGCCTTCTATGAATCGTTTGGCTGATTATTTTCAAGGACAAGATGTTCAAATCGTTTTGGCATCTTCAACACCGTTTCGTGGGGAACCTCCCTCCAACTACCTATTAAGTCAAAGCTTTCAATTCTTACAATCTCATTTAGATGAAAGAGGTCAGGTAGCTCAAGCATTTGGTGTCAAAGGCCTGCCAACAACCTTATTTTTTGATCCTCTAGGAAAATTAGTAGGACGTCTTGTTGGGGCTGCCCAAATGGATGCTCCTGAGATGGTTGATTTAATACAAAACATTCTCCATGGTAACGCCCCCAAACCAAACCTAACTCTTTGGGAACGCGTCACATACTTTTTCAAACATCTTTTTTAAAGGAAGATCATGAGCGATACAAAACACACGAAATTTCTTATCATCGGATCAGGGCCCGCAGGTTATACAGCCGCCATTTACGGGGCGCGCGCGAACTTATCACCTGTTTTA